ATGGACTACAAAATCACTTGAATAACCCTAACTTACTCCTAATTTTGTTGTCCAACTCAATTAATTAAAATTAAACCTGTCCTAAATCGGTTACTATTATCTTCGACAGTAGAACGTTTTTGTCTTCCTCAATCACCTGCCACAGTAAGGTTAAAGAAGTTGGGGCCCATCAACTTCCGATGTCACCCAGCTTTTCGTTCGCGGCGCATGGAGCAAGCTTCAGTGGGCAAGATGGCTAGCACACGACGGTGAGACGCGACGAACAACAGTGGGTGATCGTTGACGAATCCGGCCTAGAAACTCCGGCTGCACCCAGCCTGTCCTCAAAGCTCCTCAACAACACTTTGCCATGACTATTCTTACTAATGAGGAGCCTGTGAGTTATGTTGAAGCAGCAAAGGATCCTCGATGGAATGCTGCCATGAATGAAGAATTCTATGCACTTCAAGCTAACTATACATGGGACATTACTGACTTGCCTGGGGGGTTAAGCCTATTGGATCTAAGTGGGTTTATAAGACCAAGTACAATGCAGATGGTGATCTAGAGATGTTTAAGGCAAGGGTGGTAGCCAAGGGATACACTCAAGTGTATGGGATTGATTATTGTGATACCTATTCCCCTGTGACCAAAATTACCTCCGCGAAAATGTTACTTGCGGTGGCTTCCATTCAAAACTGGCACTTACATCAGATGGATGTGAACAATGCCTGTTTGAATGGAGAGCTTGAAGAGGAAGTTTATATGGAGTTGCCTCCTGGTCTAAGGGATAGACCTGAGTACAAGGGGAAAGTTTGCAAACTTAAGAAATCCCTTTATGGATTGAAACAAGCAAGTCGTATGTGGTATGCTAAGTTAACTGAGTCTCTACTCAAGAATGGTTTCAAGCAATCCTAAGCAGACTATTCCATTTTCCTTTCCACTGTTCAAGGGCATCTAGTTGTTTTGATTGTCTATGTTGATGATATAGTGGTTGGAAGTGTTAGCCTTGAGGAAGTTAAGATAGTCAAAAGAATGCTTATATCACTTTTTAAGATGAAAGACCTGGGAGAATTGCAATACTTTCTTAGATTGGAAGTTAGCAAAAAAGAAAAGGGAATTCATGTTTGCCAACGAAAGTATTGTGTTGAGCTCCTAAATGAAGCTGGGTTTGATCAATGTAAACCAGCAAAGACTCCATCAAGTGACAAACAGGTTCTCGCTGCTACTCATGGAGATCCCTATCTCGTTATACCCTTGTTCAATCACCTCCTTGGGAAGCTTTAGTACCTGAACAGCACCATGCCAGACATCACCTTTGCTGTGCAACAGTTGTGCCAATTTCAAGATGCTCCAAAAATAGTGCACAACAAAGCATTACATAGAGTGTTCAGGTATCTCAAAAACTCTCCAGGTCAAGGTCTGTTCTATCCTAGTAACTATTCTCTCCAATTGACTAGTTATAGTGACTCTGACTGGACTACTTGCCCAGACTCAAGAATATCTATCACAGGTTTTTGTACTTTCCTTGGTAAAGGGTTAATCAGCTGGAAAAGTAAGAAGCAGAGCACTGTATCTAAATCCTCTTCTGAAGCAGAATACAGAGCTCTGGCACATCTCAGCTGTGAAGTTCAATTGTTGGTCAGGTTGCTTGGAGATTTTGGTATTGATCACTCTTCACCAGCCATGGTTTTCTGTGATCACCAGTCAGCTATACATATAGCTCGTAATCCAGTATTTCATGAACGGACAAAACACATTGAAGTGGATTGTCACGTTATCAGGGAAAGGTTAACTAATGGTTTGATCAATTTGCATAATCTTTCTACTGTTCATAAGCTTGCAGACTTATTCACCAAAAGTCTGGGCATTGATCGGTTTAATCTCCTCCTGTCCAAGCTGGGAGTCTCTGGAAGACCTTCGCCAGCTTGCCCGGGGGGAGGGGGGGGGGGGGTATTGGAGAATTGACAGGAGCAACAGTCAGCAGCAGCTCAAGCTCACCTGCATCATACACCAAAGGTGCTGCTAAATGGAAGGAGATTCCACGAGTGCAGATGAACAAGCTCGGTACGACGTCGTTCCCCTTCTGTCCAGAAATAGGGACTGGAGCGAAACGTCTCTGCATCGCAAGAAACGTGGAGCTCCAGTTATGCACAAAACGTCATCGTGCTAACTAATCACCATTATCCGTTAGTTAGGCCAGCTGTACATATACCATTGGTCAGTTTGAGTAGTTAGTTATTACTGTAGACTAGCCATCGTTAATTTACTTTAGGGGTCGTTTGGATGGAACATTCTCAAAATGAGGCAATTTGGGACAAAAGTCTCATTTTAGAAAATGAGCTAATTGTATGAGGAAATGTTTACATAATTGTCTTGTTTGGCTTGTGATTTGACATGAGACAATTGTGATGATGCATTTTTTGAAAATACATATTTGCCCTCATACTTTTGCCCTTAACCATATTGGGAAAAGGAAGAAAGAAAGAAAAAATAGTAAATAAAGGGGTTAGATTGGGAAAAGGGACTCACAAAATGGAGTAATGTAGATTACCTCCCTCCCACCGAAGTAATTGTAATTGACCCATAATGAAGCAATTTCAATTATCCCATGTCCAATTGCCTCATTCCTATTTTTTGCAGTCAAATGGGATAATTTGACCCAATTGTCTCATTTTTAGTCAATTGGAGCACATTGACTCATTACTTTCATCCATCCAAACGACCCCTTAACTCTTTTGTACAACTTGATATATATATAAATATATGAAATAGAAAACCAAAAGGATATCAATTTGAGAATCCTTCCCAAAACCCTATCTCTTTGTTTTCTTCTCACATAGGATGGTGATCGATCGTTTGCTATGGTGAGACGCGGCAAATTTAACCCTTATCTACTCTGCTGCTACTACCCTTCTTCTCGATGTTTAATCGACTGTATTGGAATTGTGGATTTGAGTGGTAACTGGTAAGGTATTGTTACTATCTAAAATGAACCCAATTCATTTTTAATGTTTATTGTCTATTGAGGGGCTTTGTGCGGGTGAGGGTGGAGGGAATTCTTTTCTCGATTGAATGAACAGAGGGAGAAGAAGGAGTGAAAGTGAAAGTGGTCGCAGTTCGCCGGTGCTCTCGCCGAAGCTCTCTTCTCCAGCCGATGCTCTCGTCGTGCCACCAAGTCGTTCGTCGTCCATATGCTCCAGTCGATGCGCTCGCTGTCTCAACCACTGCCGTTGTTCGAGCTGCCGGCGAGGAAGAATCGGGTGAAGCCGCTGTCGAATTTCGCCTGAATCTTATCGATGGTGGGGGAATTTCAGGGGACCGGGGGAATGAAGGATGTCCCGAATCTGATTAAAGGAATAATTTTTGTTTTCTGAAAAGAGTTTTATTTAATTGGGTGTTAAAATTTTGATAAAATGAATTAAGGGTATGTAAGGGGTATATGGGTCATTTTTCTTCCCATTTAACAGGTTTTTAACGAAAAATTAAATACCAGGGTGTATTTGTTACGTTTTAATAAGAGAGGTATGTTTGTACAAAATATTAGTAGAGAGATATGTTTGTTAATTTGCAATAGTAGAAGGGTAGAAAATGCTAATAACCCTATATTATTCTGACCATTTTCAACTGTCCAATGATAGACTCCAATGGCAATCATTGACCATGAAAATGTGGATAGTAAATTGCTATGGTTTTTGACCGAAAAATATAGGAAATTTCTCGTCCCCGTTTATTACTTTAATAAATAATGATATGAATAATAGAAATTAAAAAATTAATAATAGAAAAGACGCTTATAGAAATTCCAACTCAGCAGTCCAAGCACAAAATAACGTAACGGACCTCCGTAAAAGAGAGGGAGTGAGCCACAACTATTGGGGATTGCTATTCGTCGCCCTAAAACTCCTTATTTATCGCTCTAACGTTTATTAAAATGACTTAAATATCCTTAATTTAGTTTTTAATTTCAAAACATATAAATATTAAAATTATAGTCGAAGAAGAATCATCATCGCCTTGTTCTCCGTTGACGCCGACAACACCGAGGTGGTCATCGCTGGCGTTGGTGTCCGCATCGAACAGGACTATCTTGTGGTGGCGGTGGTCTCCGAGGGTCTCCCAATCGTCGTCGCCGATACAGATTTCTTGGAGCTGTTCCCCATTAATGATCAACTTTTGGACTTTGTCTAGCTAGCTTGAATTTCTTTTATGTCTATAACATAGCAAAAGTTGGCGTAAGTAATGAATCGGGGCTAAAAAGATGGGTGGGGAATGACATCGGCGGACCAAGCTTCAGACCTTCTTACACCTGCTTCTGCTTCTTCTTTCTTCTTCCTCAGCAGCGAGTCGTCGAATTGGAGGAATCGAGGCGGGTGACTAGTGCTCAGACCTTCTTGTTCCTCCGTCCTCAGCAATGACAGCAGGACAGCGCTTGGACCTTCTTCTTCCTCCTTTCTCAGCAATGACAGCAGGGAGGCGGGGTGTGGAATGGGAGCGACGACGGGTTGGAGGGTATACAAGTCAATTTAGTATGATTTAGGACGAAACGGGTTAGGATTGCTATTCGTCGCCCTAAAACTCCTTATTTGTCGCCCTAACATTTATTAAAATGACTTAAATATCCTTAATTTAGTTTTTAATTCCAAAACATATAAATATTAAAATTATAGTCGAAGAAGAATCATCATCGCCTCTTCCCCGCCTCTTCTTTCTGTTCCGTTTGTCCATTCCCCTTTTCCCCCGTCTATTTGTCTTTATCCCAATCGCTACTTGTCTTCAGCGATTCCTCCGTCTCTAATTCCGATTTCTCATCTCTTCTTCTACTTTCTCCCTTTTTTGATTTCAACGTTCTCTTCTCCTGCCTTCTCCCTTACGCCCGCGTTTGGCGTCTGTGCATGCAAACTCTCTTTCTGCTGCAATTCCAGGACGCTGAATTTCTTTTCTTCTGTTTACCGGGTCGTTAAAGTGTCAGTGTGCCCTAGCGGATTTTTGGATTCTTGCCCGGAGGCAAGGAGGAGGTTATGGACGCGAAAGCGAGAATTCTGCCTAATGGCGAGGCGGCGCCGGCGGCGGTCCTGGATAGTCCGACCAACCCTATGGTTACTCCTCTCCTGACCGATCTCTATCAGTACACCATGGCTTACGCTTATTGGAAAGCAGCCAAGCACAACGATCGAGCTGTGTGAGTATTGATTGCTTTTTCCTTTTGCTGTTGTTGTCAGCTTTCCTTTTCTCCGTCGTTTTTCTTGTTTTTGTTTCTTTCTTTCCCTATCTGGTGTTTGGTTGGGTGGTAAAAGCGGGAGTGGAATAGTCGAAGAAAGTATGGGGAACTAAACAATTATTGAATTGATTGCTACTTTCTGTTTCCGGATGGTCTTGTTGTGAAACTTATTCATTGAATCTCTCGGGCTCTATCCTCGTGGAGTAATGGTTTACTTTACAAGCTATATTGTAACCGTGTTCTTCCCGCCAAAGTTGTCCAATTTGTTCAATTTCTGATTATATTGAACCGTTCCTGTTCAGTTTTGATTTGTACTTTCGAAGGAATCCTTTTGGCGGGGAGTACACCATTTTTGCTGGGCTTGAAGAATGCATTAAGTTCATCGCGAATTTCAAGCTGAATGAGGGCGAGATCTCATTCGTCCGTCAAAGCCTGTCTGGTTCATGCGAGGTAAATCAAGCTGTCTGCCTGCCTACTAGTGCAAAATTGCTGTTCTGAACTTGCTTGGGTTTTCCTTGCCCCTGTAATTTGAATTGTCCAAAGTACATTGCTTTATTTGAGAGCGGATTGAGAGAAATGAGAGTAGCAAGCCTTACTGCAATTGATATTCTGCAGATACCAGTGGTATGTTTACTCAATGTATTGGCATCCTAAGTCTGCTGTGATTCTCAATCTTGTTATAAGTATAATTGATGCACGCTGCACTTGGTGTGAAATTTGGCGCAGATTGCAGCTTTAGTCTAATGTACATGGGCTTGGATTGGGTTCTGATTGGAGAACTTCGCTTTAAAAATCAATTGGATGAGAGCATAACTTATTAAGCTATGTTGATGCGGTGAAATTGTTAGATGGCTGTAGTGTGATAAATTCATGCGGTGTAGGAATAGTTTGCAGGTGTTACATTGAATGTTTTTTCTCGAATATTCACCCGTACATTTTGAATTTTTTAGTGCCATAAAGGGCTCACTAAGGGAACTCCAAACCATAGCAGAATCCATTGTCCTAATAAAGTCAAGTTCAAATTTGCTAAAAACAATTTTGTGGTGCCTGTTGAGACGGACTCAGATAAGGGAATCTTCTTTCATTTAGTGTTGAATACTGTCCTCTCTGAGTTGGCAGGATGGTTTCTTTGATTATCTTCGGGAACTTGATTGCTCTGAAGTAGAAGCCTATGCTATTCCCGAGGGGTCCGTTGTTTTCCCTAAGGTACCACTGATGAGAATCGAAGGACCAGTTGCTGTGAGTACCACCATTCTGATTATTCTGTTTTCCTTCTTCCTTCCTTATGTTTCCATCAGAATGGAAAGCTTGAGTCAGTGGTAATAGTTGTTTTTTTGTTCTTAACTCACTCAATCTGTTATTGCAGGTTGTTCAACTATTGGAGACCCCACTGTTGAATCTTGTAAATTTTGCATCATTAGTTGCAACAAATGCGGCAAGACACCGGTTTGTTGCGGGGAAATCGAAAATGCTACTTGAGTTTGGACTTCGACGGGCTCAGGTTACTGAGCGTTTTTTATCGCATATACTCTTTCCCCCCCCCCCCCCCCCCCCCCCCCTAAGGGTGACATAGGTTGTTTCTTATCCTCTATTATAAAGCTGTTGTCATGAGTATCATTTTAAGAGGGAACCTTTGCTTATTCTGTAGGGACCTGATGGCGCCATAACTGCATCAAAGTACTGCTACATTGGAGGATTTGATGCAACAAGGTGAGTTTGCAGAAAAAAGTGAATAATTGACTTATAGTTTTTTCATGCGCATAGTACCAGGTCGTTACTTTGTTCTCTCCCTCTAATTTCTCTTACTGACTTTCTAGATCTTACTTTGTCTCTGAGAGTCTGGTCTATTTTCGCACTTGCGTTACCTTTTAACTTGTTGGCGAAAAGCCTTTGGTTTCTTTTCTTAAACTGATGTTTTGATAATTTTCATGGCGTCTTGTGGCGTCTTGTTTGACAGCAATGTCGCTGCTGGGCGCTTATTTGGTATCCCCCTTCGCGGAACGCATTCCCATGCTTTTGTCAGCTCATTTATGGTTGGTAATAAAAATTAAAAAACTGTGTCACTATGTTCTCCAACTCTGTTCTTGTGATGATGGAATGTGGTCGGCAGAGTAGTCAACTAAGATATAGCACCTGATTCATGGATGACGCCAAAATCATTATTCTTGCAAAAAAAAAAAAAAAAAAAAAAAATTTTGGGCAAACATGAAGGTAGTGAATAGTGATTCAGCAAAATTCATGGTTTTGTACTTGGTCAGCTGGTTAGGTGCACCCGAGTCAGGCTATGGGCGGTTTTATGAATTTATTTACAACATTGGGGTGGCAGTAACATAATTAGCAGTTGTCACAGACTACTTATGTTCATTTGATTATGATACTATCTTTCTGTTAATTTGAATTTTTCTCTCTTTATCTTTTCTTGTTTGCAGAGTCCAGATGAGATCATAGAGAAATCACTCAAGAGCTCTGATGGCTCAACTAACTGTGAAGATTTTGTCAGTTTGGTCCACACCTGGTTAAACAAAATACAGGTACTAGGCATTGGCATTCTAGACTCTTTCTATGCGTGGCTTTAGGTATTCTTATCTTTTAGTCCTATCAATTGACTAATGATGGATTTGATAATTTTTTTTTGCTAATATGGCAGGCTGTGCAGTGGTCTAAATCATCGAATGGTATGTTTGGCCAGACTAATCATAGTGAGCTAGCAGCATTCACGTCATACGCATTGGCATTCCCAGGCAGTTTCCTGGCTCTTGTAGACACATATGATGTGAGTGAACATTTCAATTGTAGCCTATTGAGTTTCATTTCCTTAAGTGGTGCTTGTTAATGTGGCTTCTTAACCGGTAAGGTGCGTTTCTTATGATGACCCACTTCTGGAAATTTGGTTCTGCAATGCCAAAAGAGCCTGCTATCTCCCATCAGAAAAATAAATAATTGATAACCCTTACACAAACAGAATAAAGAACTGCTCTAAAAGCCATCTACTCGTACTTGAGCTTCTTTATTCAAATGCTAAGTACGAGATGAATTTATAAATCATCAGTGTCGATACTGATTATTACTCTTTAAGAAGTATTCCTCAAATGAAATAAATCCTAGATGTCACCAGTGATTACCGCAGAGTAGGACTGTTCTTGACTTTGCATTAAAATTAATATTTACAGCCCACCACTGAAATACATTGTTGCCCAAATCTTGTAACCATCTGCACAATTGGCTTGTATGTTGGGATACATGGATTATAAGAAATCATATGGTTTGTAGATGTAACTGTAAGAATGTGTGTAATGTTAGCATGGAATGTTTGGTTTGATGGGTTGTAATGTTGTACCTCATACAATTTGGCGTATTGTTGAAATCTTTCACTTAGAGTACATGATATCATGTATTCTGGATATCTATGGGGGTTGAACTACATGGTTCAGTACCAAATACGGAAAAGAAACACGATGAATTGCTAGCAATCATGCATTCATAGGATCACATAAAATAATCCCTGGTTACCAAATGACACCCTATATATTTTATTTTACTGCCATTGTCCTATATTTGGCATTTCCTAACAAATCATTTGCACCAACATCAACAGGTTATGAGGAGTGGGATCCCTAATTTTTGTGCTGTTGCTTTGGCACTAAATGATCTTGGGTACGTATAGAAGTTCTGCAATACGATGGCTGTAGCAATCATTGTATGGATTTTGTTTATTTGGACTGTAACTTTAAGTTGAAGGCGTGGAAACATTATGTGGAAGCAAAAATGACTTGAAATTCTTGATGATGTAAGGCACAATTTGCAAAACACACTTGAACTTAAGAAATTGATGGCGACCAAGGAAAAAACTTTGCTTGAAACAAAGCCATAATTCTGATTTTCAGAACATTGTTTTTAAGAGAGTAAAATATAAAGACTCCTGAAGCTTGATTGTGGGGCGATGTACATTAACTTATGCTGCGAATATGTCTCTAGTTTCATTTTTGTCAAAGCTAACATATATTAAACTGTATACTCAACCTTTGTTTTTTTTTTGTTTTTTTGTTTTTTTTTTTTTTGTGGTCATGTTAATGCTTGTGCACAATATCTCCTCTGGATTTTGTGTTCCTGTGTATATTTGCATAACAGTACGACTGTATTTGAGGAATTTGCAGATATAAAGCAGGTGGCATTAGACTAGACTCTGGTGACTTGGCGTATTTGTCTTCTGAGGCTAGAAAGTTTTTCCAGTCCATTGAGAAGGAATTTCGTATTCCTGGTTTTGGAAAAACGAATATTACTGCTAGTAATGATCTCAATGAGGAAACTTTAGATGCTTTGAACAAGCAGGTACGTTGTTCAAGTTCCACAATGAAATAACTGAGGTCAATTGAAAATAATTGTGAGAGTTTTCAGTCTGACCAGGAGTGACAATGTCAGGGGCATGAAGTAGATGCATATGGAATCGGAACCTATCTGGTCACATGCTACTCTCAAGCTGCTCTAGGTTGCGTCTTCAAGCTTGTTGAGATAAATAGTCAACCTCGTATCAAACTTTCGGAAGATGTTACAAAGGTGTGTGATCTTCTGCCTACGATTATCTTTTGCCTAAAGCTTATTTCTGACTTCTATTATTGCTGTGAGTAGGTTTCTATACCATGTAAGAAACGGTGCTATAGACTATATGGTAAAGAAGGATATCCACTGGTAGACATATTGACCGGAGAAAATGAACCTATTCCTAAGGTAAATTCACTCCATTAAGCAGTTTCCGTGCTTTTCTCAAATCTATGATGGCGATTTCAGTGAAAGGGGAAGCAGGCTCGAGGTGGTTAGTTGGTGACTTTGTTGTTTTACCAGGTGGGAGAAAGGATACTGTGCCGTCATCCTTTCAACGAATCGAAGAGGGCCTTTGTTGTTCCACAGAAGGTGGACGACCTCTTGAAGTGTTATTGGCCCGGGACTTCAGGTAACTTCCTAGTTCTGTCTTGAAACTGGTAGGGGCAGGACCTCTCATCAGTATGGTCTGGTTTACGTGACTCGATTTTGCTTGCTTCATGGAAGGTAAACCAAGAGTAGAGTTGCCTTCTCTGAAGGAGACTAGAGAGCGCTGCATCAAGCAGCTGGAGCAAATGCGGCCAGACCACATGAGACGGTTGAACCCGACACCATACAAGGTAAAAAGCCCCTTCCTGGAAAATGTGTGTAACATTATTGATATTCATCCATCCTAGGTATATAATCAATCACTAAGGATCTGCGTCGGAACTTCTGAGCAGGTGAGTGTAAGCGGGAAGTTGTACGATTTCATCCACTTCCTGTGGCTAAATGAGGCTCCTGTTGGAGAGCTGCAGTGAGCAGAAGGGGGAAAGATGGTATGAGAGTGTGTACAAAATGTGTACATACGACAGGTTGGTTAGAGTTTTGGAGTTTGGGCAGAGTCCACAGATTTATCTATTTACCATAGCCGAGGGATAGATGTACAATTGTACACTGCTACGTCTTGTCTTTTCATCCCCTTCGTTTTGGTTGTTCTGTTTCTTTGGGATGGGCTGTTTTAACTTTGGTTTTTCTAGTTTATAACTATGAATCTATTATCACTGGTTTACTTGCGGCCAAGGAATAAAATGCAGCTCCTCTTTGCCCACTTGAGTTGTCCTGATTCTACCACCGGAGAAAATGGATGCAAGCAATGTTTAAGGCATCTAGCAAGCTTTGTAGAAATTTCTTGCCTTTTCCGAAGCCTTCGAAGATGCCATTGCTAGGATCATAAACATTGTTTGAACCATTCTCATGTGATCGTGGGTTCGATGGTTTGCATCGCGGCGTTGCACCCAGATTAGATCCAGGTTCACAGCACGGCTAAGTGGCTCCATCACTGAAGCCATATTCATTAAACCATGGTTTTACTTTTACATGTGTTATCTTCATTGTCATGTCGTTTGTCATGGTGGAATCATTAAATTGTTTTTTATAAGGGTGATATATGTTTTTTTTTATTAGGTTCCACAGAAGGGATTCGAATCTGAGACCTCAAAGTTCAAGACTAGTAATATTACCACTAGACTAGCGAACACGCGAGATTGGTCTAGTGGTAATACCAATAGTCATGAACCTGGAGGTCCCAGGTTCGAGTCCGTTCAGTAGTACCTAATAACAAAAAAAGTAACCTATATCACCCTTATCTAAACAATGACCCAACAACTTAATATATATTGTTTGACCAATACTACGGCGCCGCTATAAAAACTGCGACACCGGTGATGCAACTTTTCACCGAAGGCACAAAATAACGAGTAAAGCTTAATGAAGATCCCCTTAAGGTAAGGAGTTGTCACCGGTAGCATAAAATACAGATCCAGCGCAAAATCGAAACTTCAACTCATATACATTGAGTAGTAAGAGCGCATATGTCTGGCAGGAGGACGTCCAGGGAACCCCTATGTTCTGCCTTTGGGAGCGCCTGAAAAAACTTCGCCATCTCCTGTATGATTGGAGTAGAGCGGGTACGACTAATTCCTTGCGGAATATTCGTACCCTTCAGAGTGAAATTGATAGGGTTAAACTGGTTCATCCTATTGACTGGAATATGGTCCGGGGGCTGGAGGTTGAGTTGAGTCGGCAATGGGAGGCGGAGGAACTATACTGGCAGCAGAAGTCCAGGGTCCACTGGCTGAAAAAGGGTGATAAAAACACGTCCTACTTTCATACTGTGACTAGGGCCCGTCGTAAGAGAAATTTTGTGGCTGGCCTTCACAATGAAAATGGGGAGTGGGTTACTGATGAGATTGGAAAAGCTGGAATTACTACTTCCTTCTATCAACACCTGTTTGCTTCAGAGAACAAAGTGGACAATATGGCTGAGCGGGTGGCATCCTTGCCTATTGATCGGTGTGTTACCCTTGAGATGAATGCCGGCCTCACTGTCGAGGTACTCCCTTCTGAGGTGCGAAAAACAGTATTTGCCATGGGATCTAAGCAGGCTCCGGGGTCCGATGGTTTCATTGGGAAGTTTTTTAAGGCTTTCTGGGATATCGTGGGTGACTCGGTGACGACGGCAGTGTGCTCTTTCTTTGGTACTAGTCGTATGCTTCGTAGTTTCAACCATACGTGGCTCACGTTGATTCCCAAGGTTGATAATGTGGAAACTATGCGGCAGCTGCGTCCAATCAGCCTATGCCAGTTCGTTTACAAAATTATTACTAAGATCATGGCGGAGCGTCTTGCTTGCCTTTTGCCTATGATTGTCTCAGATGGTCAGAATGCCTTCATCCGGGAGCGTCAAATTGTTGAGAATGTTCTCCTGGGGCATGAATTGATGCATTATCTTAAGATCAAAACGCGGGGTAAGAAAGGGTACATGGCTCTAAAGGTTGACATGGAAAAGGCCTATGATAGAGTCGAATGGCCCTTCCTCCTCGCGGTTTTGGATAAGATGGGCTTTAATTCTACCTGGCAAGGGTGGATTCGAGAGTGCCTTCGGTCCTCATCCTTTTCTGTGCTTATGAATGGAACTCCTTCGGGTTTTTTTACTCCTTCAAGGGGGCTTCGACAGGGGGATCCTCTCTCTTCGCAAAGCTATCACAGATAAGAAGCTGGAGGGGGTTAAAGTGGCCCCTCGTGCGCCTTGCATCTCGCATTTATTTTTTGCAGATGACTCTTTATTTCTGCAAGGTACTCTCCAGGAGTGTGAAAACTTGATTGTGGTGCTAAACGAATATGAGGAGTTGAGTGGTCAACGTGTGAACCTGGATTTGTTGGCCGTTTGCTTTAGTAAGAATGTTGTCTGTGAGGACCAGGAATTCTTGGCCGCGATTCTGGGCGTTGGGGCGGTAGGGGTCCATGATAAGTATCTGGGATTGCCTACGCTTATCGCTCGCTCTAAGATGGCTACGTTCAGATATTTGGAGGAGAAGTTGCTGGAACGTCTTCAGCGATGGAAACGGAAGACCTTATCGTGGGCTGCTAGGGAAACGTTGATTAAATCAGTTGCTTTGGCGTTACCATTGCACGTGATGTCTTGTTTTAAACTTCCTCTCTCCCTCTGTCGGCTTTTGGATAGGCATGTGGCCCGGTTTTGGTGGAGTGATGCTGAGGATCATTTTCGCATTCGATGGGTGTCTTGGCGGAACTTGTCCGTAGTAAGCATGAGGGTGGTCTGGGATTTCGTCGCTTCGAGCAATTTAATCAGGCCTTGCTTGCTAAGATAGGGTGGCGTCTCCTTATGGAACTCCAGTCCCTTTTGGCACAGGTTTACAAAGGGAATTATATCCCCACTGGGTCTTTTCTTGAGGCTTCGGCTAGATCAAGACCCTCTTGGGGATGGCAGAGCATCTTATTTGGCAGGCAGCTATTGGTGAAGGGGCTGCGGTGGCAAATTGGGAATGGCCAATCAGCATCCTTACTGAACTCTAATTGGATTCCTCGGCTCCATAGTGACCCCCTAGTTGTAATCTTCGGGTTTTGCCGGAGGGGGGGGGGGGACCCCCTGGTTGTAGAGGTCATGTGTTCAGGGGAGGGGTGTTGGGATGACAATAAGTTGGGACAGTGGTTTGACCCAGCAACTTGTGAGGCTATTAGGGCTATCCCCCTCCCGCGCCGGAATGTTGAGGATAAATTAATCTGGCATGCGACTGTGGATGGGGTCTTCACGGTTAAGTCTGCTTACCATTTGGCGATTGACTTTGATAGGAGACAAGGGGGTTGGCGATCCACAGTGGGGTGGATGGATAAGCCGTCCTGGGTTCGTTTATGGGATGCTAATATCCCTCCTAAGCTTAAAGTCTTCATCTGGCAGATCTTTAATCGCATTTTGCCTACTACGGAGGCCCTAAACGAGAAAAAGGTTCTGGTGCATCCTCGGTGTCCGGTGTACTGGGCAAGTAAGGAAACTTTGGAGCATTTATTTTTGGAGTGCCCAGTGGCTCGGGGCCTTTGGGATTATTCTGGGCTGGCCTACTTAGGGGAGGGGCTCCCCCACCATACTTTTCCTTTGTTTCTGAAAATTTTAATGGCTTTGATTCACCAGCCTCCTCTGTTTATGGCGATGGTTGCTGTTCTTTGGCGGATATGGCGGTCACGGAACTGGGTGGTCTTTGAAGGCAAGCAGTTTGGGTTCCCGGCTTTGATGCGTCAGTTTCAGCAACAGTATGAGGAATGGGTCCGGCTGCCAGTTGATTTAGGACCAAGTGGGGCTCCCTGCGGATCTGCTCCTCCGGATTCGCAACATCTGGGTCTGGCTGGGGGACAGGGTTGTGTGTATGTGGGATGGGGCTGTTCGGAGGGGATACCACTCGGCTGGTGGGGTAGTTCTCTTTACTCCTTCAAGAGATGTTTGGCTGGTGAAAGGGGTTCGTTTTCCTGGGATGGATGATCCACTTGTGGTGGAATTGCTTGTCTTACGTGAGGCTGTGTTGTGGTGCCTTGCGCTCGGCCTTTCGGAGGTGCAATTTGAAGGAGATGCCAAGGTTATTATTGATAAGATCAATCTTGCGGATGCCAGAGATAACCGAGTCGGAGCTGTTCTGGAGGAAATTCATCAGTATTTTCATAGCTCTTCGGGGTTTAGTGTTCGATTTGTAGGTCGGAGTAGTAATAGGGTAGCCCATTTGGTGGCTCGCAAAGCCCTTTCCTTGTACCCGACTACGAGTCGTTCTTTTGATTTCCTGGCCTGGCTTACTTCCAGGATGTAATTATCTTCTGATTTGAATCAATATATGATTATTTTTTGCTTAAAAAAAAGAGCGCATAAACATTAGAAAAATGTGAAGCACAAACATTCTTTATCCTTTCAACTTAGTGGAGGAGATGGATCCCTGCCACTCAAACCACAAACCAAGAACTTGAGAAAAAAATCCTAAAACAGATTTGTAAGGATCCTATATTCAAATGACGCTAAAAAAAATTACAATCCAAAACTTCTTTAAACCGGAAAAAGCCTACTCAACTCATCACATCGCTGCATGTATAATCTGAAAGTCAGCAAGCCAAGCTAAGTAGAAGAAACCAAGAACTTTGCCACCAACATTCTTCCTTTTTGCCTCTTCGTGGTTCATAATGCCAGTAGAAGTTATTAGCACAATCAATCCAAACTGCCAAAAGCAAAACCAGCCATCCAGATGAAACTAATCTAGTCATACGTTAACAACTATTCATAGGCAGAGATGTCAACATGAAAGCACTAGCTATCTCACATCCAAAACATCTAGGAAATCATTTGTCAGAATAGAAGCGTGTAATCGATAATCCAAACCAACACGAACGAACACAAATTTAACGTGGTTCACTAACACAATGTGTGCTAGCTAATCCACGGGCCGGGGGGGGGGCAAATTTCACTAATTTGAGGAGAGTACAG